AATGCCTTATCTTGAAAATGCATAGTTGGACCTTTCTCCTGGGCATCAACATCTGCCCACCATGCTCACTCAGACGGGCTCGCTTGACCACACCATTGAGTTCAGGTTAGCCACACAACTACATCCTCAGCCCTTCTTTATCAAACACAGTTGTGGTTCATTACAGTGGCTCACATTCTCCTTTCTCTTCCCTGAGTTTCTATCCTCTTATGTCTGCAAAGCAATTTATAACAGCCCATCTTCCCCCACTTGTGGAATGGAAGAGGTGGGGAGTCGGGGCCCAGGTCTTATTGTGGTGGAGGGATAATGGGAAGATAAGACTAGATAGGGCAGCAGGGCCAGATGATGGAAGGCTCTGGATTCTGGGCTGAGGGATTTGGGTATGATTCATTAAATGATAGGACACCAGCATAGGCTCCTGGGTAGAGGAGTGACAAGAAGATAGTGGTATTTTCAAAAGGACTATCTGACAGTGCCATGTGTGATGACTTGGAAGCAGGGAGAAAACAGAAGAGAAGCCAGTTAGGAGACTATCACAAGAACCCAAGTCTAAGGTGATAAGAACCCGTAAGGATGTGACAATGTACTTGAAGCAGGAGCAAGGATAAATTCCAGAGACTTCAGGAAGGGAAAACCTATAGGACTTAATGACTAATTTTATATGGGTGATAAATTTAAGAGAGACCTCAAAGATGACTCTAAAATGTAAGCCTAAGACAGCAGGAAGATGGTGGTGCCTCTGACACAGTAAGTGGACTGGAAAGGTAATTGGATTTGAAAGTTTGGATCAGATGAACAGTAATTACAGTGCTTGTGTTACTCCCTGATCAAAATCCATCAATAGCTTCTCATTGCAAGTAGTATAAATTCCAAGAGCTTAACATCACCCATAAGATTCTGTCTTAAATAACCCTAACGTCTCTATAATCTTATCTCTCATGATTCTTCTAATAGTAAATATCTTTCAGTACATTGCATGAGCCAAATTATTGTCTGTCTGTATGGTTGGACCCATGTCTGGCCAAATGCAGAGCTCCATACTGTAATCATCCCAAGGAATGTGAGATGTCACACATGGATGCTGATTTTAAAAGAAATGGTGGGAAAGCCTCTCTCTTTTTCTCTGGGACAGAAGCTATAAGAATGATGTAGCCTTGTGATTGCTAGTGGCCAACCTGCCACCAAATAGAGGAAGTCTCTGAGAATGAGGCCAAGCAAAGGCAAATAGAACCAAGAAATGGATAGAGAGACAGAAATCTGAGGCCTCATATAAATCCTTGGATCCAGTCAAGCCTTACTGTCTCCACCTTTTAAATGTCCCACTTATATGGACTAAACAGTTCTCTTTTTTCACCTTAGGCTTGGAGTCTGTCACTTTCAGTCCAGAGTCCTGATTCTTCTATTATCTCAAGGCTCCTCGTCTGCAGGGAAGGTTTTTCTCTATGATCTTTGCCTGACTGACTCTCACTTATCTTTAGGGCTTAGCTTAAATAATATTTTCTCAAAAAGCCATGTCACGAAAACCAAAGAGGACCAAATTAGGTCCCTCTTTGCTGTTCTCTCAAATTACCCTACTATTTTCCTTTATAGGTTATTCCTGTAATTTGGAGTGATGTGCTCATATGCATTTATTTATTTAAGATCTGTCTTCCTTAATGTTATAATACACATTACCCTCTGTACCCTCCTGAAGTCCCACTAGAATGATAATAATGACGCTTTTTGAAGATATAAATCCAAATTAAAGAAAGCATGACAAAACATTAAAAGTTAGAAAGCAGATGGATGAGTAGCAACTGACCCGGTGCACCCAAGGCAACTGAATCCTGAGCCGGAAGGAGGGAAAAATGAGAAGCAGCTTGATCTACATCATGGAAGTCCCCAGAGACTCAGGAATCCTTGGCACCAATTGCCTCTGAATGTGGAAGGTAGAGCTAAAACCAAGTCAGAGTAAGAATAGCTAGTACACGGAAAGCTATACAAATAAAAATAAAAATCATGACTATGATTGTTACTGTTAATCCCAGGAAAAATTAAATGTTGCACAGGGAAAGATAATAATAATAAAAGCAAAAATTTCTAACACTTATTTAGTGCTTACTAGAAGACATGCATTGTTCTAATTCTTTATATTAATTTTATATTCATTCAGTTATTAACTATTAATTACCACAACTCATTGTTGCGGATACTATGAGTACCTCATTCTACAGTTGAAGAAACTGAAACAGAGCTAGCTCCTAATATAAGTACTGTCTTTGGGATTTGAATCCAGGTAGTTGGACTCCAGAATCTGTTCTCCTAACTATTACTCCATGTTACCTCTTAAAATAATCATAGTACATTATCTATCTTTCACTGTAAGTAATATTTTTATAGTCAAACATAAACACTGATTATTCATGTAATTCAAATTTTAAAATGATTCTTTAAAAAGAATAGGGAGAAGAGAAAATATGTATAGGTATAATGTGGTATATGTGAAAGGAAGCTAAATCTTCTTCATTTACCTTGGAAGCCAATAGCTAAGAACATACAAAAATAGGAAGAAAGAAAGAGGAATGTAAGTATTATTTCTAGAGATTTTTAAATAATGTCCAAAAATACCAGTTAAAAGAATTGAATGTGGCTCCACAAATAGGATATGAAAGGATATGAGGTTTCCTTCAGGGAATGAATTTTACCAAGGCTTTTAGAAATATTTCCCTGTGTAAAGTGTGTGCTTGGATAATTTTAATGTTTTAAGTCACTGCTGAAAGTTTCGGTTAGTATCACTAAGGTGGCATTTAAATGCGTAGGTATGGGTTAACTCTCAGAGTGAGTAGAGAGGAAAGGTCCCTAGGACAGAGTTCTTTGGAGCCCTACATGGCCCACAGATTGGAAGCCAAAGGAACAAGAGGAAGCAAAGAAGAAACAGGAAAAAACCAAAGAGAAAAATCAAAGGCCTCAAAGAAGTTCAATGACCTAGAAAGCAGAGATCAGGAGAGAGCATTGGGAAGGAGGGACCCGTCAATGGGAACCAAAAGAAGGGAACGACAATGAGCAACTGAGCCAAGACTGCGCAAAGCTGCAAGTGGAAGACCAGAGCATTTCAGCAGTGGGTGGGGAGCAAAGGCCACGGCGTGGGGAATTACGGAAGGAGCTGTTGGTGAGACATCAGATGGAGTGAGGACAAGTCACAGTTGTCAGTGTAGCAATGAATCCTAAAGAGGTCGTTCCTCTGGCATAGAACTCTCCACCTCAGCAGCTGCCCAGCTGATGCGATTATTTCCCGAAGTATGCTGCCAAGGGAGAAGCTGCCCCTTTTAAAATAGGGAAGGAATGACAGGAAATCATTGGTAAGAACTTGTTGACAGGAGGAAAATGACATGGTTAGTTTCTGGTGGTGGCAGGGTGCCATTATCAGCCATGCCAAAGCAAAGAAATCATTATACCTAGAAAATAATATTTCCATGCCTACCACATAAATTCTAGCCAGATGGTGCCCTGAGGAACGTGAGCTCCTTTGGCTTTGATGACAAGTACAGAGGAGCAAAGACCTGCTTTTCACTATTGATGAGCCCCGGTTGTTGGTTGCATGAATCAGGAGACAAGCTTTGGGTAGGATCACAGCCAGCCTGGTGTTAGACCTGAAGGTAAGTAAGAGGTCACCGTTTAATTTCAAGAAGAGCACCAAGCACATGCTGAAAAAGAGAGAAGCTACCTGGCAGCATTAAAGTAGAACCTCTGGAATGCAATTGTGTTCTGGGGGCTGACTGATGAGACAGTGCTCAGTGCTCCAACCAACAAAGTATGTATGTGATGTGGGGAGCAGAAGATCAAAGTACCCCCACCCCAGCAGTCAGTTACCTGTAGGGGGTATCTGCAGATTATGTCCCTTTGAAACGTTATAGACACGTGTCAGAGTCCTGACTTCTTGAAGTAGAGGAAGTCAGAAGACTGTACGTTGGCTTCCAGTTGTACATTGGTATGTAAGTTTCAATTATTCATTGAAGCTGCTGTTTTCTTCCTTTCACTGAGGTATAGTTTGAGAGAATGGTTGTTCTTTAAACATATTTATTCTACATGTGGATAAGAGACTATCAAGATTTACATAAAATTAGCATAATTCCTGAGAGCTGCACAGCAAGTGAAAGAGAGTATTTGGGATGGGTCATGTTTCCTCTCTTCCTATATTTTCATAGCACTCAGAGACAAAGCCAAAATATGCAAGCACACACACGCGCGCACACACACACACACACACACACAACATTTACGTGAGATTGAAACGAGAATTAAATTCACAAATTTAGTTGTAGTCTCTCCCCACTATGCTCTCACTACCTCAAGAGAGGTAGTAGATAAGTGGAAGGGTGGAGGGGGTGGTCTGAGGAAAGATTTGAACTCCCCAAGATATCCTGGAGGAAAGATCAAGGAGCACTTGCGCGCTCACCTCTCACACCCTTGTTCTCCTTCCATGCTGCACCAGAAGCAAAGAAAATCAAGGCATATCTATCCATTCCGATGCATCCTAGACTGTAGATGACTTCAAGGGAACAACACCGCAGCAACGCAAAAAGAGATGCCAGTCTATGGGGTGGTTGCTCTGGGGCCTGTCTCCATCAATGTCTCACTCATCTGTACTGACAAATAAAAGCTAAGAGTAGACAAGAAAATATCTATGATTTGGGAAGTGATGTCTGAGTGATACCAATTCTGGGCTTGAGTTCACTCTAGATGAGGCAGAAAGACTCTATGATTTTAGGATTAAAAGAAGCACAGCACAGGAATGAAGCACTTTGGCAGTGGAGCCAGGGCGCTTGGATTAAATTGCAAGTGCGCACTTACTAGCTGTGTGACTTTAGGCAAGTTATTTAACCTCTCTGTGCCTCTGTTTCCTCAACTTGGAAATGACGTGAATGATCGTATTTACCTCATAGGGCGCTTTCGTCAAAATTAAATGATTTAATTAATTTAACACAAACCCTATAAATGTTAGCTATTGTTATGTATGCTAATGAAGTTTCTGAACTTTATTATGCTCCTTTGGGGCAGCGTTGTTTACAACATGGTCAGAAGAACACTGAAGCAAAATCATTCAGGAACTCTTAAAAATCCAGGGCAAATACATTTCAGACAAGTATCTATCAGGGATGATTCTTCCATTCGTTCTGTTGTGAGAACCAGGATCCCCTTTGGAGTCACAGATAAGGCTTCAGGCAGAGGAACTAGGAAAATCAGAGGAAATGATAAAAGCAATAGATGTGCAACAATACATTCTTAAAATTTCAAATTTGAAACTTATTTTAAGTAAATTAGAATGCTAACCAACTACTAAAAATGTCATAGAGTATATTTTTAATAAGATATGTTTATGCAAGAAAAAATGCATATTTACATTGTAAAAGTATATAGATACATACATACGTACAACACACACACTATCTCATTTTGTTAAAAAGTAAGCTTTTGTATATATGTACAGAGACAATTCCTTGAAGAATAAACCTCATAATGTTAGCGGTAGTTATCACTAGGCAGTGGGAATTTGTGTAATTTGAGGGGCCGGGGTTCTGACTTGCCTAAATGAATACATATTTTATGTGTAATTTTTAAAAAGCACCATAACTTCCTTTTCTTTAAGACAAATAGCCAAAATCGGACTGGAATTCTAATTCAGTGACCTGAAGCCTTGAGAACAGAACGGTCTGACCTCAGGGTGGGAGGTGATGACACAGCCTGGAGCTCTTTGCAGGGTGCCAGACCTTGGTCTGGGTGAACACCTCACAGTCAGGCCACCAGGGGAGAGCAGAAACTGAGGCTGTCTTCCCTAACCCAAGCAGCATTCGGTTAGGAAATCACACACCCAGCTATGAGAAACTGAAAGCACAGAGAAGAGGAAATGAAGCTGAAGCAGGCGGATCTCACAAGAGATCTGGCCAGGGCCAGATCCAGAGGGTGCCCTGTTGCTGTCAGAGTCCTGGTCAGATGCTGCTCTCCTCTCCTCAGGGCTTGGAAGGTTCTAGAAAGCAAAGGTTAGATCAGGGCCCCCACAATTCAAGTGGAGACTCAGGATCTCGTGTTATAGCAAAGATTCCTAAAGCATGTATTAACTACCCTAAGGAGAGCCCAAACTGTGTCCAAACCTGAGATCTTTCAATTTTTCATATTCTATTTGTGAAATCATGATATGCTGTCTCGTAACTGTGAAATTTTATTTTCCTACTTTGTGCTTCTAAAGTTGATATAATTGAAGGAGCTGTCTCAGACCCAGTGTTTGGAATGTGTGTTCCATATTCTGTCCCCCAGACTATACTATCATCCTGTGCCATGCAGTTGCTTGGTAAATGTCGTTATGAATAAATAATGACATACGGGATGCTACTCTTTTACATAAAATTGTATGTATAATGCAGCTGATACTGGGGATGGAAAAACTTTTCACTGGTCCTATATCATAGTCTGTAAACCATGAGCATTGAATTAACCCAATAAAAGTGACAATTCTGACCCTGGGCTATACCCATTACTCTAAGGTTACAGCTTGCAAGCCAACTCAAATTGTTCTCAATGTAGTACTTTACTGAAATACTTATCATCTGGAAACCGTATGTAGTTCATATTCTTAATAAATAATAACACATTTTATTTTGGTTTACTGAAAATTAACAGGGCATTTGGGAAACTGCTGTTATTGTGGGAGCCTGTTTCACATTTGCCTTGGCAGTATAATAGCTATCTAAGTGGAAAACAGGAGAACCAATGGCTGTTGAGTGTGGGGTTTTGTTTTTTTTTTTTCCTCTGCTGTTGGTACTCAGAGAAAGTCATGCAGCTGGTAACATTAATGACATCCCATATACTCAAAGAGACAAAAGAGGTAAAGCAAAGTTGTAATGGGCATAACCATATGAAATTGTCATTCTGAGTTGATTAGTTTTGCATTTGGACACAGTAAATCTACTTCTTTGCACCTATATTCCAATCTGTAGTCCAAATAGTCTGCAAAGTTTCAAGGCTTTTTAATAATTGCCTTAGACAGCTTTGTGAACATGCTGATCTAGAAGGCAAAAAGCAGAGAGCTTTGAGGGACCATTCCTATGGCAAGAGCCACTCTTGAGTTATGATTGTGTACTTTTCTCTGATAATCCCGATTTCTCAACACTCCATGTTTTAGAAGCATCCCCTATAAAGTTCTCCCACCTCCTAATGTAACAGGAGATCAGCCTCAAATAGACTGGTTTTTATTGGAGAAAAATACAGTAGTACAATTGGAGAGAAAAGGATAACGATGGATTTCAGGGAGGAAGAGAGGGCTGAGAAAGAAGACAAATGCAGATTTTTTAAATAGTTTCCTTTAGTGCTTTTTCTTCTCTTCCATGCAGGTCCTGCAGTGTAATCAGTGGGAGGTAACAAGGGCTATATTCCAAGCAAGCAATACTTTCACTGGCTCTCAGGCCTGCTTCAGCTCTGCCAACCCTCTCGTCCCTTGCCCACCTTGTTTGCCAGCCCCCCTTTCTATGCCGAAACGCCACAGATGGTTTCATTTTCACAGTGAGAGAAAAATATTCCAAACAAGTTTCCCTGTGTTTTTGTTGACCTTTGTTTTTCATTTTAGTTTTAAATATGTATTCTCATTCATTCCTTCCTATCAACTCTGTGGGTGTTTCGAGGTTTAAACTGATATACTGAGAAGCCATAGAATTATTCTGATCTAATGATGCATTTCATATTTCCATGGCTGATTCCTAAACATTAATGGTTCTACTCAAGAACACAACTTGGAAACCAAAGTGGCCCTTACTTTCTCTCATCTCCCTTGCCTCCCTGCCACCCCACTGTCATGCCTTCAAACTGACCCTCACATTTGTCACCCACAGTGATTGCCCTGGTCCTTGTTCTTTTCCTCCTGGGCCATTATTCCCTCCTAACCAATCTGTCTGCCTTTAGTCTCCCTGCTCCAATGCACCCAACTATGTCACCAAAGTGATCTTTCTAAAGTTCAAAAGAAAATCATATCCCAAGCCAACCTATGCTCAATGAGTATATTTCCATTTTCAGCAGGGTTAGGTTCATGCTTGTAAAGCAGACCAGCAAAAGCAAGGGCTCCAGAGCCAACCTGGCTGAGTTCAAAGACCAGCTGGGCCAATTATAAGCAGAGTGACTTGGAGCTGCACCTTAGTTTCCTCAGCTGTAAAATGGGTTACTTACATTGTAGGCTTATTATGAGGATTGAGTTAATACTGGTAAATGGCATAGAACAGTGACTTATACATAGTGAGCATTATGTGCCTTTCCTATATAAATAATATAACTCCTCCATGTGTGGTATTAAGTCCCCTCTCTGCCTACTCTTCTACTTTTCTGCCTCAACTTCCACCACTTCTGACCACACTTCTCACTCCCTTCACCACATCCAGCCATCCACCACATATTTTTGTATATTCTGTTCCTTCCACCCCAGATATCCTTATTATTTCTCCACTTTGGAATATTCTACTCAACGGGTTGTTTATCACACATATGTTTACAGTAATGTATATTCCATTATTATATAATTTATTGCCCGCACTAAGCTTAAGAACTTTGAGTTTCAAGAACTCCCTTGTGCTCACATCTGCTAACTATATCTAGACTAGTGCGCAAGCGTTTATTAAGTATTCAAGAAATGATTGATGTTGGAAAGAAAGAAGGAAGGGAGGGAGGCACAGAAATAAAATAAGAGTTGCTAACAATTTTCTCTGTGCCAGACAAGGTACTAAATAATTTACATGGCTTAATTCAGTTCTAACTACAGCCCTAAGAGGTTGATAGTATTCTTATCCCCATTTTACAGATAAGAAAAAAAGTGCACAGAGTTATATTGGTGACTCTTCAAATATCAACCTGACCCTAGCATCTGTGTATATAGACATCTCACAAAGCTGTCTCCCACTGGTCCCAAATATAGCACTCCATCTCCTTCTCCCCAACCAGCAGCCAACACAGACTCCAGGAGAGCCAGGGAGGCACACTGGGAAGAGTGCAGGCTGCCATGCCTGGGTTTGAATCCCAACTCTAAGTCCCTCTAACAGACTTCCCTTAAGCAAGTTACTTAATATCTCTGATGCTGTTTCCTTAACTGTAAAATATGCATAATGGTGCTCACCTCCCACTTTCTAGAATTATCATGAGGACACAGGTAAATAAAGGATGTAGAGCTACAGTTGCAGGACCATAGAAAATTAGACAGTTATGATTTAGACTAGCTTGGGAAAGAAAGTTAATTCGTTATAATTTCCATTCTTGGTGGTTTTAAAGCACAGCCTTAATACTCTTTTGTAATACACCAGTTTGGTTTGGCTAAGTAAGACACTTCAAAGAATATGTTTTACACATGTTTGAAACAAAGGCATTAAGGAATGTGGCAGGGAGATAGGAATCTCCTGAAAGTGTAAGGAGCAAAGAAAATCTAAATCACCATTAAAGAAAGCACAGAACACTTCCATTCATATTGCACAAGTAAAATAAAACTCCTTCGAGAATCAAGGCACCAATGACATAGTGGTCCGGAATTTCAACTTAGGATTTGAGAAAAGGGGACTTGAACAAGCTGAACAATTCTTTGACATGCTTAGGTGTAGAAAACCTAAAGGAAACCTTGAAATTCAGAGGAAGAGTTGGAAGAGGTTTATGTCAATCTTAATTTAATTTAAGAAACCTAATCACCTTTGTAACTGAAGAGGCCATGAACATGCAAAATATGAAATTTTCTAAAATGGAACTTTGTTTGACAGGATTTAACCTTGTCTATTTTTCTTGTGGTCTTCTGACATTTTTGCAGTACATGATCAGAGACCAGCCCAAGACTCTTGCTCCCCAAATTTAGAAACGATTCTAAGAAGCAACTTAATTTATGGCTGTACAGACCAAGTACATTTTTCATACGGCATAATTAAAATTAGGTCAATGGGAGAAAAGAATGAGAGGCAGACAAGTTGTCTAAATATTATACTGAAAAATAACAATCTACCTTGAAACAATTCTTCTACCATTTCTTTATTTAGCCATGTCCTCCATTTTTGCATTTAAAGAACATTCAGTTTCCAAGATACCAGGTTTTCCAGTCATCTCCTAGGTTAGTGTGCCAAATGCTACAGATGGAGCTAAATAGATCTGTGGTGATTTACTATTCTCTATGGTCAAAGGGCAAACGTATCTCCTGCCTTTACTGTAGCCCTCTGGAGCATGCTCTGCACTTATTCTCTGGGCAGAGTTCCCACTGATAACCAGGGAGGGCTCACTGGTAGGATGCATATGCAGAAAACTCCAGGCTACAGATCAGAGAGGAGAATTCAGTCCAGGCCCAGCTGGGCATTCCAAATTGAGGTGGGAGGGGGGAAGCAAAAATAATATCAACAATTGGGAGAAATGCCCTGATTCTGCAAGTTGAGGGTTTTCAAATCTTCCAGGAATTACATATGTATCTCTGATGTGCCCCGTGGTGGATGAGGCAAGGCAAAGTAGCAACTAAGGGAATAAGGGCCACAAGAAAAATAACTGAAGGAAATCATAGAAACGTCTGATTCTGTTCCAGAAAGTCACTCTAGTGAAGCTCACAGGGCATTAAGAAGAATGGTTTGTGTGCTTAGCTTGAGTTGGCTCAGCTGCATGGGGGAAAGAGGAACTAATTGTATAAACTCTACCAAGTGTCTGGTAGCCTGACATGTTTTCCCCCTTGTCCTTCCCACACTCACCCCTTCCTACAGCCACAGTTTCAAACCCCACGTCCTCTAATCTCCTTTTAGCTCCTTTCTGGAGTGGAGAGTGACATTCATGCTGAGTGTGTGACTACTTGGCAATAACAACCAAGCTTCACCATAATTGATCGTCTTCCAGTCAACACTTTGGGCCTTGGGCAAAGCTTGCCTGAGATGTGGCCCTGAACCCTGTCAGAGCAGTGTCACTGCTAACACCTAGGACAGACACACCCCCAGCAGACCGAATTCTCCAGCAGGCCATTTATCAGTTCCAACCATTTCTATAGCCGACAAGCAAAGAAAGACATTTCTAAGTGACTGATTCGGTTATGCATGTCTTTCAACACTTTCTGTTTTGAGTGGTCTGTTTTGGTAGGGTTTGTGGCACTTGATGGCCTTAAAACCACAAACGCCTGAAGTACTTTTCTTTGAAATAATTTAGGCATTTTCTTCCTAGCAAGCTGCAGAAAGTGCAATTACAAAACATGCCTAAGGGATAGATCTTTCTAGGCATATAAAAATAACAATTTCTCCACACAAAAAATCATCTTTCCCACACACTCCATCCAGCCTTGGGAAACAGTGCTTCAGGCCGTTGTGATCAGGAGGGTCTGAGGGGCCTTATTCTTCCCAACATGCTTACCCACCCCGAGAGCCCCCTCATAATACCTCAATTGGCTTCCTTTCCCCCACTTAGAAGTCTTCCTGAGCTCTTAGGACGAAGTCCACATTTCTGGATGCAGCCTCGGGAATCCGTGTGATGTGGACTAGGCCTGTCTCTCTCCATTGCCAGTAAGTTCTCCACATGGCATTATTCCAGGGTCTTAAACTAACCAAGCCTCTCCTGCCATGGAGCCTTCTCACAGGTTGTCACCATGCCTGGGCTGAACTTCCCTCCTCCCAACCCCTACCATCTTTGACCCTACCTTAGAGATCAAATAAGCACTTTTAGCAGGCCTTTCCTGACTCCTAAAATAAAGCAGACTCCTCCCTGAATCCTCCACAGGTAACTCTCTTTCTGCTCCAGTAGCTTTCGTCGCACTTTACCTTCTTCCTCCAGAAAGAAACCCCTGAGTACAGCAACTGTGTCTGTTGCATTCAGTGCTGTACTTAGCACTTAGCTCAGTGCATGGCACCGAATAGGTCCTGTATCAGTCTCCTATGGCTACCATAACAAAATACCGTAGTCTGGGTGGCTTCAACAATAAGAACATATTTTCTCACAGTTATGGAGGCCAGAAGTCCAAGGTCAAGGTGCCATCAGGGTTGGTTTGTGGCGAGACCGCTCTTCCTGCCTTGTGAATAGCCTTCTTCCTGAGTCCTCCTATGACCTCACCTCTGAGTATGCATGCAGGGGGAAGCGAGACAGAGAGCTCTCTGCTGTCTCCTTCTCTTCTTAAGAAGCCACCAACCCTATCAGATTAGGACCCCACTCTTTTTATTTATTTATTTATTTATTTTTGAGATGGAGTCTCGCTCTATCGGCCAGGCTGGAGTGCAGTGGTGTGATCTCAGCTCACTGCAACTCCACCTCCCAGGTTCCAGCCATTCTCCTGCCTCAGCCTCCCGAGTAGCTGGGACTACAGGCACCTGCCACCATGACTGGCTAATTTTTTGTGTTTTTAGTAGAGACAGGGTTTCACCGTGTTAGCCAGGATGGTCTCGATCTTCTGACCTCGTGATCCGCCTGCCTTGGCCTCCCAAAGTGCTGGGATTACCAAAGGGCCCCACTCTTATGACCTCTTTAACCTTAATTACCTCCCAAAAGGCTCTACCTCCAAGTACAGTCACATTGGGTTAGAGCTTTAACACATGAATTTGGGCAGGGAGTGGGGAAAGACACAATTCAGTCCATAACAGGCCCGGGATACATATCGGTTGAGTAGATGGCTAAATGAATGAATTGTTTCTCATTCCGAGTTTTTTTCCTACTAAGGAGATTCTTGGCTCATGAAGGCAGAAACCCTGTCTTTCTTCCCCCTACCACCCTCACAGAACCTGTCACATAGTGCATATTTAATGCATATTTGCTGGATTGAGTTTGGGTTCAACCTTCAAGGCAAAGGTGCCCTGTGAGAATACAAGTATGTGCGAGTCTGTGTGTATATTTGTATTTGTGGGTATTTTCATTACAAATAAAATGTAACTTAATGACTTCCTTACGATCATACAAGAAACTAATTCTAAACTTCTAGGCAGAGAGCAAGTAAGCTCCAGCTTAAAGGTAAGTTAAACAACAGAAGCAAATAAGCTGCTTGCAAATTCTGTGCTGCTTAATTCCTTCCCCCCTTATAGTGACAGTGCTTTCTCTGTGAAGTAATTTTCTTTTGATAAAAGGAGATCAGGTTCCCTGACCCCAGAAAGAAATGAATTAGTGATTTCTCTGCCTGAGAGTTGACAAATAGCTCTTACATCTCTCTTCCCTGGTCTCCAGCAGTGAAACAAATAGACTCTGTAAATAACCTTCTTTTTCTTTTCTTTTCTTTTTTTTTTTTTTTTTTTTTTTTTGTTAAGAGGTTGGGGAACAAGAGAATTCCTGTAGAGTCAGACTTCTGGAAAAGTCTTCATTTTGTTTTTCTTCATGAGGACATCAGTGCCCTGTTGTCCACACATACCTCATATGCAGAACCTCAAATGTCATTTCCCCAGCCAGCAGTGCCAGACTGGCAGCAAAGTGAGTGCCTCATCTCCAGAGACCCACTCGCTGGGCACCTCTCCTCTGTCACCTGTGGTTGTCATCCACACTCAGTGCTCTCCAGGCCTCTGAGAGCTCTGCTCAAATGTGCTGCTTCCAACTCTAATCCGGCAGGTAGCTAGGCATCGTGAGAGGATATTTCCCTTTACCTAATCTGAATGGGCTTCTTTCTACCTTTACAGAAGAAGAGAGGAAGTGAAGGGTGAAACCACGTGCTTCTATCAAATCTCCTGAATCCAAAGATGTTGTTAGGTTCTACCTTCCCCCTACCTCATCCCCTTCTTCAATGGGTCCTTTGGTTTCATGATGGCATTAAGCAAGACTTCTAATGTGGTTGCTGCCAGCCTCAGAACTTTTAGATTCTTTCTGGTGAGTGCCTGTGTAGACTGACCCTTGCTTAGCTTGCTACCGATTTTTCTCAAGAAAATGTGCATCAAAGAATAGGAATTAGCATACATTTGTAGAATATCTGGCTGAATAAATTGATACTATAAATCGTAATAATAACAAAAAGAAATAAATAAAAGGTCATGTAATGTGACCATATTAATACAATAGTTTCTAAGACTGTTTATGAAAAGTGCTGGGATCTACACAAATTTACAAAAGCTTCATTCCACACACCACAAACTCCTGAAATATTACCCTTGACAAAAAACCTGGAGCACAAATCAGAAGCTTATTATGTCACACTTCATATCTCCGGGTCTTACCTCCAATTCCCAATGTAGCTGCGGCAGTTTGTGAGAATTCCTGTGACAAAGTGTCATCTCAAGTGCCTGCTGAGTGCCTGTAGCTTTATGCCATGGAATTTTCCATCTCTAAGAACATTCCAGTGTCACTATATAGAACACTGGTATTGTCCAGGTGTCTACTTGCCACATACCCATGTGCCACCCAAAAGAATAAGGCACTTAACATCCCCATCAGGTGACCTTCAGTGGGGAATGGAAACCAGTGAGGAAATGATTTCCCCTATCAATGCTTAGGTGGACAATTCTAAGAGACATTCTATTTGCTCCTCCAAAGACTCTAGCAGAATCAAACCCTTGGTGCCCATGGACATAACCAACTGATACTATTCCCTCATATTGGCTTCCTCCTTCCCTTTTTCCCTCTCCCCTGCACCTCACTCCTGCTCCTGGTCCAGGTTCTAGTACTTACTAGGCAGGCATGTGACTTTGGTCAAGCTACTTAACTTCTGTATTCCTCAGTTGCATGATGGGTAAAATAAGGATAATATCAGCACCTACTCCATGGGATTTAATGAGCTGACACTTGCAAAGCCTTTACAAGTGTCAAGTACAATAATAAGAGCTCAACAAATATTAGCTAAAAGGAGAGGACATCCAAGTGAAAGCAAGGAACTATGAGGAACCACAGCAGGTAGGAACCTGTCAGTTACTTCTTGTAGATATAACCTAGGGTCTTGGTGGAAAACGGGGGACATGTGACTGACAATGCAGCCAGGAGTTCATCAGGAACAGATCACAGAGGCTCTTGTAGGCTCCTGTGCTAAGAAACTCACCCTTTCTCCTGAAGGCAATGTAAAAGTGTTGACAATTTTGAGCAGGAAAATGGTGTGATCAGATTTCTGGTTTCAAAAGATCATTCTGGAGGGTGTAAGGTGATGACTAGGAAGAAGTGAAATATGATGAATAAAATAGAGCCAAATTATATCCACGCACTAGGCGATGCAGCAGGGCTGTAAGGTTCAGTCCATTTTCACCAGTTCTGCTCCTCCTGGTTGGTAGATTACCCTAAAGGAAAAAGCTGATGAAGTTTTGGGGTTTTTTTTTCACTCCAGTGCCATTTTTAAAAGATGAAATCATGACCTTGAGATATGTATTAGTATCCCCTTGGTACTGTGACAAATTACTACAAAGTCAGTGGCTTAAAACCACACCTATTTATTATTGTCTAGCAGTTTTGGAAGTCAGAGGTCTGAAATGGGTCTTGCGGGGCTAAAATCAAGGTGTTGGCAAGGCTTACTTCTCCTGGAGACTCCACAGGAGATTCCACTCTTTGCCTTTTCCGTCTTCTGTAGGCCACTCCCACTCCACGGCTTGTGGCTCCTTCCTGCACCTACCAAGCCAGTAGCCTGACATCTTCAGACCGCTCTTTGACTCTTATTCTGACACCCACTCTCCTGCCTCCCTCTTCACTTCTAAGGACCCTTGTGAGCACACTTGAATAACCCGGGATGATCTCCCCATCTCAAGAATCTTGACTTACTCACATCTGCAATGTCCCTTTAGCCATGTAAGGTAACCATATTTACAGATTCCAGGAATTAAGATGTATTCATTTGGGGAGGGTGACATTGTTCTGCCTATCACAGGATGTGAACAATAGGTAAATGTTTCTACTGTTTTTTTTCAGGTGCCCCTGACGTCCATATTTGCCATCAGCTAATTCCACCCAAGCAGGCCCCACTATGCATAAGGCTTGTGAAAGGGAGAGCAGGAGCCCCAGAATCAGTTCAAGGGAGTTTATGAATACAGACAGCTGGTCAGGGTGGGAGATACAGTGTGGAGAGAGACATAAACTCGCTTCATTGCTCCCAAAGCCCTCTCTTCTAAGACTTTTACTGTTTAGGCATTTCCCATAAGATACCTACAACAACCCTTTACCTACAACAACCCTTTCCATTTTGCAGATGGAAAAACTGATGCTAAGGCAACTCAAAGAACTCACCCAAGGTCCCAGCAATTCCTTGGCTAAGCAGGGCCATCAACGGCCCCATTGGTAACATCCCCAAAGCACATTTGCTCTTATCAGGGCTTAGCTCTTAAGTGTTTAAATTTATCCAGACCCTATAGTGATGCATTTAGAATACAGTCCTATATCAAAAAATATATACAATTTTCACTTTAATTTAAAATGAACTTAAAGTAACCACTATAATTATCTCCCTGGTATTTATGAGCCATTTAATAAAAAGCTTGTTAGACTCTCAATGATCCTATCCCTCGCTCTGGGCCCCTGGCTCCCCCAGTCCATCATTTCATGGCTGGCAAAGATCTCAAAACAGATCGGATCATTGGAGCTAAAATATCTGGGGGGTTTAAAAAACACTTTAGCATATCCGTATTGTTGCCAGAATATATTAATATACAAAATATGTGAGTTTTCTGAGACCTCAAATGGAGGCAGCTGATCTCCTCACTCTTTTATTTCCTTCAGTTGTTTTTCTTCATCTTGCTCTCATCTCTAGCATAGAACATAAAGTTTTCCCAGTTATTATAAGCTAAGAGAACTACTGAATCTACATTCCCCTTATTGTGACATCCACAAATGCATTTTAATGAACCTGGACACACCTCTGCCCCTGTTGCTGCTTCTTTGCTATCTGAGTAGAAGTTTTGCTGTGGAGCAAAGTGTCTCAGTGTGAATCACCCCTGAGGTGAAGCCAGTATTCAGAAGAATGACAGGGCCCGTGGCAGATGCCGCTCTGTACATGTTGGGAGAAATCATGTCAATGCTACATCAATTAGGCTCTTGTTTCCACCATGCGGAGAACCAGGAGGTAGAGCAAATCAGCTAGCTTTCCAGAGTACGTTGTTCTTCTGAGAAGCTGTTCAGGGTTTTATTTGTTTGCTTTTTAGTTTGTTATAATATTTGTCCAACTGGAAGGTGAGCTATAAGAACTCAGCTGAGTTGGAACAAATAAAATGTCCTTTATGGTCCTCTCCTGGTTCTCTGCGGGGAGCTGGGACAGTGACAAGGTGATCAAATGTACTCGGTGCCAGAGAAAGGACATGCTTAAGAGTGAAAGGAATCTGTTGACAAAAGAGAAAAACACGTCAACCAATTTTTCTTCATAAAAAGAAGAGATAATTGATCTTTTTCCCACATCCCTTAGGGACCATAGAGAAATAGGACAACAATTGTCATATTGGGAGTGGAAAAAAAGACTACTTGAGTTTGCCGGAGGTCAGGGTCTGAGCATTATTCTTCCAGGAACCCCGAGTGCCTCAACGGTTGCCAATGAGCCGTAAATGTTAGTTTAATGGGATTGAATTAAATTGTATTGAATTATAGATATTGAAAAAAGAGGCAGTTCCACATGGTGATGGCATTATTGAGATATAATCTGCTTGAGGATAATCTTATATGGCTGTTCCATATTGCATTCAAATGTTCAATTCTCCCAGTATTGAACTCTTAAGAGATTATGGATTCTGAGAACCACAAACTCCATCCCGAGAAGAAGAAAGCAACCACTTACTCAAAAAAAAAAAAAAAAAAACCTAACCAGGGGCACCACCACCACCACAATATGCCTGATACCTCTCCTGCTTACCCCATGAGGCTTTATCTCCCACCAGCCTTCGTGGGACTTTCAACCAAATATTTTTTTAAATGCTTAAAGCCTGTGAAAAAATCAGAGAGATAGAGGACAATACAAACACACACATATACACACCAGCACCACCATATCATGCAAAGGTCGAAGAGCCAAAATTAAATTTTGTTTTTCCACCAGGATCCAAGTTTTATGATGTGCCAGTTTCACTGCATGACATTTTTCAGGCAGAACTCATCCTTGGGCAAAATACACTTGGGCCAATAAAATCAAATGGACCAACCACTTTTGATGTCTCCTACTTTTTAAGTCAGAACATCAGGCAATAGCAAATTCATCAGGAAGATGACCTAAGTCTACTGAATGCTTACTGTGTAGAAGTGTTATTCTCTGCAGTGTTGAAAAGTTTTCAAAGAACTAGAGGGGAAATTATCTTCCACGTAGATGGGGTAGATGGGGCGCTGGAATTGGGGCAAGAACATATCAGTCACCCTCCCTTATCAGATAGATCATCCAAGTCCATTTTATTTAACATTAATTCCACCTCACTAAAGTCACACTTAAAATTGTGATAAAGATGAAGTTACATGAGATATAATGTTTGAAAGCACATTGCAAACTGTAAAGTACATATGAATGGCAGTGTTTCAGTATTTTTAAAACCCAAGTAGGGAGACAACCCAAAGGCATCACATTGTGAACATTTGGAGGGCTGGAATTGTGTCATATTCCCTGATGTGTCTCCAGTGTATAACAGTTTCTGGAACTTATAACTATTTGTTTAAAAACTTGATGAATATTTAATTGATAAGTGGTATGACAATAGTTACAAATAAAGTATTACAAGTACAATAGCATTAATAGTACAAATAAGTCACGAGGGCATGATCCCGAAGATAGCTCCTGAAGGGGACAAAAAATGGAAAGGAATAATGTGATGGGGGGAAGGAAGAAAGGGAAGTGCAGATGGAAAAATGGAGCAGAGAGATTTTAGAACAAACACAGCGTGTGCTGGAAGTGGAACAGGGACAGACTTGCCTGGAGCAGAAAGTCTGACTTAAGAGTAATGAGAGATGAACTTTTCAAAATCATAGAAATAGAAAAGAGGATAATGTAGGGTTAGGAGATGGAGAGCCATAAATGCCCAAGTGAAGCATCCTCTGTTGTTAGTTGGACTGGACACATAGAGAAATAAACAGCATATAATAAATATTTCATGAACCTCCTAATCTAGCAGATGCAATTGTTCATATAACTTACTAGTGATGAGGAGCTGGATACAATCCCTAAGGAGACAATTGAAACTAACTTAGTGTCATCCAGGTGGCCTTTCATGAAGGAGGTGGCTCCTGAGCAGTGTTTGAGCCATAATGCCACAGACTGAAGTTGGCACAGGGAGTGTGGATAGTGTGGAGTCAGGGAAGTCATGATGAGTTTGGTTTTAAAAAGAAATATGGCTCTTGAGTAGGACAATTATCCAATTTCTCCTTCAT